TGCCGACTCCGTCCATCCATTTCCAGGGGTCGCGTGTTGATGCGCCGTTCATTAGCAAAACACTCCCCGCAGAAACTGGGATGAAATTTAAATAGTGATGCATTTATGTATCGCATCCATGCGAGCCTCCCCGTTCTTTCTCCGTAGCTGCGGGTTGGCGGCGGCCCTATCGTAACACTTTCGGAAAACGGGGGTGGTTTTCTTTTCCTAAAAAGAAAAATTGTCGTCCAAAAACTACAATTCCCATTAAATGAAGCGACGTCCGAAGAAAAAATGGCACAACGCACGCATTTAATTTGCTCGATTGGGTCGTTTTTTTGAGAGCTTGTTCAAAGCGTATTATAAATGGTTCGATCGCGTGACGTAAAAAATGTGTCCGGGCCGGGCGGGGCAGCTGGGGTCGGGGCTGGGCTTGGCCCGGCTCCTCTCGTACGGCTCGCACGCCACGCGCCGGACTGTAAGCGGCGCTTAGCAAGGCGGCCCAGATAACACGCTCGGCTTGGGGGGTTGCGTGAAGTAGTGTGCGGGCTCAATCCCTCGCGCAACGCGGCGCAAACCGCCCCCACACAGCTCTCACTACCACCCCGCCGCCCTCTACCAAAGTACCGACGGCGTCAAAAAGAATTGGGGCATTTATACCGCGGTGGACGCGGCCGGTGCATTGAGGGGGGTGATCCGTTTCCTTAATTTTGTTCTTTAGTATGCATTAAATAACAACTAGATAGGTATAACAAACCTGCTCCAAGAGCTCAGGGCTGAGCCAGTTTAAATTACGCGCAGTAGTTGGAGGAAATGAGTGGACATTTCTTTGCCATCTGCCATTCTTTACTACCCTACATGCATACCTCAATCCAGAGAGAACTGCCTGTCCATTTTCATTTATTAATATGTGACTTGCTCGTACAGCCCTAGAAACAAAGTAAATAGGATCCTGATACCCTCGAACACAACACATTTCATGTATCTATCTTTAATTTAGATTCAAAATTCAGTTAGAAATCTTACCTGTGTATGTAACCTTTTTTATGAATGTAATCTAAGGCATAAAGAATATCTTTCAAAATATAAGCGATAGCAAGTTCAGGTAGACCATCCGAAAAATGTCTGTTCAATAAATCTCGACAAGACCCAAATGCCATCAAGGGGGATACCACACAGACATGTGACTCCATTACAAAAGCAGCATTTATCACAACAACATTTGGATGGCGTAACTGGCGAGTTAAAATTATTTCATTCTAGAAAACAGGGAAATTAAATGAATGAATTATCTTTGGTGATTCAATAAACAAGTTTCCTCTCATAGTTGGATGTCTGTAAAATTAACAATTACAATATGTACCTGAATGTTTTCCAATTCATCCTTCGCCTTATCCATGTTAAATTTCTTGAGAGCTATAGGGGTGTCTAATGGCTTGTAAATAGCCAAGTAAACTTGTCCTACGTCTCCACAACATTGTCCAAGAACAGACATAGTCTGATAAGAGTCTGGTTCCGATCCAAATGCACAGTCGACATCATTTTGACACGTAGATGGTGGGGAAGATGAGGAATGTTGTGTTAACGACATTTCAAAAGTCCAGTTGAGAGCCTCCCAAAATCCTGGTAAAATATTTAAAA